GAATTCAGACACTGATGAACACCTGCTGTTAATAATTACAATTACTGAAGAAAAGAAACAAGAAACACAAACAGTGACTTGAGTTACAACATTAAATCAAATAAAATCAAATAAAACAGCTTCAGTCTCAGCAGAGGATCATTAAACAACTCCACAAACAACAGCAGACACACTTATAACTGACTGATTTGACATCCATACTATTCTCATTGAGATCCAACAGAAATTAAGGTGTTTTTTTTTTTTGTCACCGTAATGGAGTGAGGGGCTGATTTAGTTGGGCTCTTCACCCTTGAACTTATTAATTCAGACTCTCCAATTACTATAATAAAGAGTTAACAAAGTACTTGTATTATAGCAATCAAGTTGGAAAGTCAATAAATAGAGAAATCTAATTGTCTGAAATTAGTTCTGATAAATGTTTTGTTATAAATCTGGATGAAGGGCCTCATGCAATAGATTTTATGCTAAGTTGCAGGTATTAATTTAATTAATGAGAAGTGGAAACAGAAAACATACATCCATAATTACTTAACAGTTAAGAAATGACATACAAAAACAGTTCCGTTATGACAAATACACACTCAAACCTCATGAATCTGACCTTGTATCTCAACAATGGTAACATCTTAAATGTTTCATGCTGCAATGCATGCTGGGAGTGGCACGGTACAAATATCCCAGCATGCATTGCGGTATAAATAAATTTTGTATAATGGTCTCACACTTTTCTTTATTTGTGTTTGATTCTGCTGTTGTTTATGTTTAGACTTTCAGTTGCCTGTTTGTGAGTTAAACTGTTAATTTTGTTAGTTGTCACCATTATTGAGGTTCATATGCTGATTATTGATGTCTCTTTGAGTGCGATTTACACCGTAGAGCAGTGTTATTGTCCAAGATATTCTTAAAAACTTCCAGAAATCATTGCCATATATAGACATATAATGTAAAACAATAGATTTAACATTGAATAGGAGCATTAAATTTATTATACGAAATGAGAACAGACTCTGCCATTTAATAGCAACATGAACATCACCAGATATTATTTAAGTTTTTTCTGGCTTGCCACAACAAAGGAGTTTGTTAAACAAAGTTCTTAACAATTGCAGCAGCCAAGATATATAAATGTTAAAAATGACAGGGCTAAGAGCCCAACTAAAGCAAACTCTGTTCTCCATGATGGTGACGTAAAACTTTCACTTTTTCTCAAGAAGAACTTTAGTAGATGTTATACAAAAATACATGTATTAAGTAATAAGTGTAGCTGGTGATGATGTTTGTAGAGTTGTTTAATCATCCGCTGATCATTTAAATGATTTAATAATTTGTTGTTCTTCAGGTTATTTTATTATAAAGCTGTGACTAAAGTTTTGTATGTTCTGTTCTTCTTTTTTCCCTTCAGTATTTCTTCATTTGTTCATTGTTAATCCTCAATTATCATTTAATTAGTCAGTTAATTAATGAATTTACTTCAGCTTTGCTCCATGTTTCTTGAACACTCAGTAGTGTGGACACTTCAATTAAAACTGAAGTATATGCTCTGGGGTTTAAAGGGTTAAAGGTGTGAGAGGTAAAAACACAGTGTAAAATGTATTTTAACAGTAATATACTGTTAATTTACACTACGGAAATAGACTGTAAAAAAACAGTATATTGCTGGCAACCACAGCTGCCAGTAGATTACTGTTAAATCAAGGAAAAAACAGTATTTTACTGTAAAACCTGAAGCTAATTTCTTCTGTGTGTCACCGTTGTGGAGGAGAGTAGAGCCAGTGTATGAGTGAAAGATGAACAATGAACTGCTGATGTTATTCTGTATGTTTCTTTATTTAAAGAAAGCGGCTGTTTAGTTGCTGATGCAGTCAGAATCTCTCTGGTGATTCCAGATTTACATGTATGCGTGCTGTTGTGAAAAATAAGACATTAGAGTTAAACCGAATCTTTCTAATTAACTAAATTAAGTTATTATTATAAGTATAATTCTAAGCATATATAGCATATATAGCACATTACTTCATAAACTCATTCAGCAGTTGACCAAGTTGAGGCAGTTGCTTTCAGTGAGCAAAATGAGTTCACTTGAGTATTGTGTAAATCAATGTAGTCCAAGTATTTTTACAGCAACATACTGTAAAATAACAGTACATTGCTGGCAACTGCAGCTGCCAGTATTTTACTGTTTTTTAACGGGACAATTTTTAACAGTGTGTGAGAGCGAGGAAGTGTGTGTTTGTGTGTGAGAGTGAGTGTGTATGTCTGATTGTGTGCCAGCGTGTGAGTGTGAGAAAGAGAGAGAGACAGAAGGGAGTGTGCGTGTGTGTTTGAGAGAGTGTGTGTGTGTGTGTGTGTGTGTGTGTGTGTGTGTGTGTGTGTGTGTGTGTGTAGTCCTACATTTGTGTGGTCCTGCTGTAATCCTCGTCTCTCCTCCATGATCCAGACTGTAAACACACACAGATTCACATTCAGTCAGTACACAAACATCAGTTTATAACACACAAACACACACACACACACACACACACACACACACACACACACACACACACACACACACACACACACACACACACACAATAAGACATGTGGAGTGTGTGCTGAATGCTGGATTGTGATTGGCTGATCTCAGTGCATTAATAACTGCAGTAAAACAACATGAGTGTGTGTGGAGCTGTCAAATCAGCTTCTGAATGACACACAGAGCTTTTAGATCAGATGTGGAAACAGAAAACAGAATGGAAACACAGAAACAGACAGATATAAAGACTGAAGGATTCATTCAATGATCAATTGACAAAAGCGCAGCACAATAATAAAGCAGAATTCAGTGTTAAATGACTTGAAATATGATGGAGATCTTCATCTTCTGTCAAATGCCTCTTCATCATCTCCAAACATTGCTAAGTTGGAGAGCAGTGAATCCAGACCAATCTGCAGTCCTCCTCGCCCTTTGGAAGCTTGGTGGGTTTGTGTTCTGTTTATTGTTCATAATACTTCAGTTATAAAGGATTAGTTTAGGAGTTTTTTGTCATTTGCTTTATTTGAGTTTGTTCAACATGTGATTGTCAGTGGACTATATCAGAACCAGCATCACTGTCTGCTGATCACTTTTATTGCCTGATATTTTGTGTTCATGTTAGTTTAGAAGCAGAAAAGAGCCAGATTACAAGATATGTGAGATATTTGCCAGAAACATATTTGTTATGTCCACATTGTGAATGTAAATTGATATTGTTTTTTTTCTTCCTGTTTATAGTTTTACTCCGCCCTTATTAAAGTGTGATAAAGGACATTCTGTGTCTGTGAAGTTCATGAGGGAGAGTTTAACTTGCTGTTAAAGTATACACAGGACGTATTTGGAGAACAGTACACACACATCTCTGAGCTGATACTGTACAGTTCTTCAGCAGAAATGTAGAGAACAAGTTTCACTGCTCAACTACAATGCTGAAACTGTACAGTGTTAATATGAGATATAATATCACGCTTAATGTGAGAACTGCCCCAGTGCACTGACATATTTAACAGCTTTGATTCATATCTGGACACTAGAAGAGCAGTGAAGTATCAAAGTATCTGTATTCACAATAAAAAAGGCAGTGCTGCTCCACATACTTGAGTTTGTCCAGTGTGTAGTTTGGATCCTCCAGTTGTTCAGAGAGCAGCTTGACTCCTGAATCTCCTGGATGATTGTAGCTCAGATCCAGCTCTCTCAGGTGTGAGGGGTTTGAAGTCAGAGCTGAAGACAGAAAACCACAGCCTTCCTCTGTCACCATACAGCCAGACAATCTACAAACACAGCAATAGTCCACATCACACAGTTGGACAATCACACATCTCTTTGTGTTGTGAAGATGCTGACTGCTGTTTCTGCTAATGTCAACAGCAGTGATGAACACACACATCCTGATCAGCTCTCCTTATTGATCGAGCTCTGATATAGAGCATGTTGAGTGTGTTTGCTGATAAGGACTCGACATCATCTGTAGAAGTGTACAGAGCAATAGTTCATAAGACATCACATCAAGCTGTAAAGTCTGCTGTGAGGAATAAGACACATTTGAGCTCAGAAGGAAATCTTGAAGTATAAAGTGTAATTGAAAATGAGCTGATTTCCATTATTTATCTTTAGATCATATTTAGATTATATTGTGGACAATAATGTAAATAAACTAAACACACACAAACTCAATCTCTTGGTGTCTTTGTCTCCTGTCTGACAGTCACTAGAGCTGTAGTCAATCCACCTTTGAGTCCAAATGTTAACAAGGCCAAGACACTTCTTCAGTTTAGATAATAAGACTGTGATGAGACGTTTATATGTTTTCAGGAAAACTGTAAACTGTACAAACATCAGAGCAGGTCAAAACCTCACCAGGACCCAAAACCCTACAGACTCCACAGGGTTCACTTTGTCTTCATCACTGTTATTTATTTATTTAGACAGGATTGCCAGAACATCTGACAAATTCTTAAATAAACCTTTAAAATAAACAAATGCAGATATAAACAACAAAATAATATGAACATATAAAATATGTCATCTAAATACTCTTTAAATACAGTCATACAGTTCTGTATATTAGAAGTATTTTACACATTTTTTGTATTTTACTCAGTAATGCTTTTGACTGCATTTGTCTACACACACAGAGACTTGTATAGATATGAATAAAATCACACCTATAAAAAATTGCCCATCTGCCAACACACTGAGTGGGGAAAGGAGCTTCTATATTTGTTTAACCACTATGTAACTCTCTTTTTGTAGTTGTTGTTGATTGGAAGAGTATTTACCTCAGTATCTCCAGTTTACAGAGTTGACTCTTCAGTCCATCAGAGAGCTTCTTCACTCCTGAATCCTGCAGGTCATTGTTACTCAGGTCCAGCTCTCTCAGCACACAGTTTGAGGATTGTAGAGCTGAAGACAAACTCTCACAGCACTGAACAGTGAGATTACAGCTCTGTAGTCTGTGTAGAGGACAAACACAATATTGATGTTGAGTTTGATATGTTCGGCACTTTACAGTGTTGTGTGTGGAGCTGAACGAGCCCACCAATCACGGTGGGGTATATGGCTCTAGGGGGCGGGACATCAGCTGAACATAACGCAGGCAGAGAAACATTTTCCAATGAGTGAAAGTTACAGCAGAGTTGCCATGGAGTGTTTCCCTCTGTGATTGCTGGCTGCGTCCTTGCTATTGGGGACATGAGGACATTCGTCCCAGTGTGCTTCATTCACAACACTTCAAAAAAAGTTGTGTAAGTTGCTGCCCAGCGGGACATTATAAATATATAAATGTATATAAATCAGAGCTTAATTTGAGCAGGATCTGGCTGGATCCTGTTCCGAGAAATGTCAGATATTTGTATTAGAGCTGCAAAAGTGAATTGATTAAATCGATAAAAATCAATTACTCAAAGAGTTGCCAACAGATTTTATGATTGATTTGTTGTGTCGCACGACACGGGAACATTTGCGCATTAAAAAAAAACCCTTAAGTCAGTGCAGAGCGGAGTGAACACTGTCTCTCTCACTCACTGATACAGAGTTCAGCGCTCATAGACAGAGATGAGGAAGAAGGGAGTTCAACAGCAGGTGTGTTGGCTGGTGCTGAGCCAGAGAAAGACGCGTCATATCATCACAATTATGCTGCGTTTTAACTGCCTAATGCTTATTTTATGTTTTAGATAAACATTTACATGAAAATACAAACAAGCACTAGTAAAACAAAACATTTAGAGCTTGTGAAACACAAGAAAGTCTTTTTGAAGTCCAACAATCCATTCAAATATAAATTGCTGATGTGTTTAATTCATATCAGGTACACATGGTGAAAGTAACTATAAAGTTGAATCTACTTTAAGTTCATCAGACACTCACTTGCATGTATTTAGAGAGTAACTGATGAATGAACTGCTGATGATGCATCGTCACGGAAACATTAAGGGTGAACGTTCTAAAATAATGGACTCCTGGATCCAGAATATTTTAAACCCACCAGCAAAAGGGTTAATAACAGCAGAAAAGCAGCGGTTATTTCTAATTTCGAGAGGAGCACGTGATGTGATTGAGCACTGCTGGCTGCTCATCTGTAATCAGTAATAATCCAATCAGAGTGATTCTAGTTTACTATAAATGGATCGTTTTCTCCCTACTGCTCTATTTTCATTTTGGAAGAATGCTTTCCTCTACAAATGCTCCAGCATTTAACCTACGCTTCAGCATCATTTACATTTGACATGGAAAAAAAAAACAAACAACAGCAACTTCAGCCAGAACCCCGCTCTCCCCAAAACCTCAGCCGCTGCCTCGCCAGCAATCAAGCCTGAATTCCCGCCGGCACAACAGCTCTTCCATCTTCTGCTCCAACTGCCCCACACAATGCAATCCACAACTCCAACAAAACTCAAGACTCCGGCAATCCAAGCCATTGTAATGAAGCCGAACTCTCACTGCTCTCCTAGCGGTCCACTTTTGATAACGTACATGCTTTAAAGGGAAGCCTCGCTAGATAACTACACTCCAACAAAGACTAAACTTTTTATAAAGGTTTCGAAAGACGAGACCAGCGTGAATAGAATGATTTCAACAGAGAACTCACCTCTCAGCCTCCCGCCTGTCCACAGATCCATAACATTCTGACAGCTGAAGTAGTTCGATTGCAATGACCAGGCAATCTAATCCACAAACATTAGTCCACAACATATCCATTCGTTGATAAACAACCATGGAAGGGCGCAATGTTATCATCCAAACAAGCTGCTGGAGCGTGTGGAGCCAGTCCTTCAGGCATAAACACTGTAGCGATTTTGGTCAACAAAATGGCCGCCGACTTTTTGCACTCTGACTGATACTCCAAGGAGCCAATAGCTGAAAGGAGAAGTGTCACCAGCCAATGAGCTTTACAAACTTGAGTTGGTCCAGCCTTCTCTCTGGACAGTTTCATGAATGGACTGAGTGCAAAGACTTTGTGAATGAATCAGGTCAGATATAACTGAGATTTTTCAATCATGTTCAGATTCCAAACGTGATGTTACTTATCATAGATGCAGTAAAAGTCCATGATAAACATTACATTCACACAGTTCCTACTAAGTGGTTACATGGTTTTTCAATGATGTTGGCAGTTGACATATTTAAAATTTATAAATAATAATAATAACAATAAATAATAATAAAACTCTGCCACATCTGATCTGATAGCCATTGAACTAATGAAAAGAGTTTTACCCAGCTAGTGAAAAACATTCAACACCTCAAGCATTGAAGCTCTCATGTAACACACGAGAGAAAATGCAAAATCAGGCTTTTATACTTGAGGCATACGCCATTGAGATATTTATTTAAATGACAGGGGGCGGTCTAAAGAAAGAGACCGTAAAATCAGATGAATAAAAAGAGAATCATTAATATCATTGAATATGTTTTGGGGGCCTCTTTATTTGTTTGTTTTAACAAACTTATCTTTAAGGTTTTTCCAAACTTTTACAAAAACGTTTCTCCTTTCCCACTGCTTTTGCAACTTCAAGCCAAGAATTGTTGGTCATCTGGTTCTCCCTATGATCACACATGGACAGATCATAAAGATGTCAGCACAGACGTACCTGTTTCAGACAAAATCTCTTCAAACTGTTTTATATCCAACTCAACTCAAAAGCGGCACAATTGATCATCTGAGTCTTAAAAAATTTCATTAGCTCCGCTATGGCGTTATTTCACTGACAAATGTAGTGAGCGCAGTAGTGAGCGCAGTATTACAATTCAAGAGCGCATTCATGTAATAGGAGCGAGCGAATCTCTTTGCTCGTGCACCGATTTTCTCTGTTTGTGGACAAAACTGAGCAAGAAAAGCTTAAATTTTCTCCATCTTAAATATGCACTGCTCAGGACAAATTATCTTGTGCGCTCTCAGTACACTGTTCCTGCTTCTTTTCGAGCTTTTCGATATGATTTATATTAGTCCACTATTTATTACCAACAACCAAAATACTAAAATAGTCTTACATATTACATTTTTAATCTAATAAACCGTAACTTTTTTAGCTGTGTGTAATATGAAGAAATATTTTCAGTTTCTAACACTTAAAAACTCAGACAATAGTTTAATTTTAAAAACATTTATTAAACATCCAAAAGGTGCACCATACTAACCAAATAAAATAAACGTTTAAATATAACTAATGCAACCAGAAAAGTAAATGTGATAGAAAGGGAAAAAACTTGATAAGGTATTATAGCCTAATGCACTATTCACTCTTCAAATAAATTTCACAATCTATCCTATTTCATCATGGCAAATAAAGCAAAGTGAACTAGTGTCTGCTGTACAGTGTTTTGTAAAGTACAGTAAAGTACTTCAATTGATCTATTGTGGCAATACTATAGTTGCTATGGTAACACAACAAGTGTAATATAAACAAATTACCCAGTTTTTTAACAATATAGGGTATATTATACTACAATTCACCACACTTTACTGTAGTAAAACTACACTGTATTTCATTTTATCAGTTCACTATTCTACTATTAATACTACAGTATGCTGAAGCATCTCTGGAGAGCAAAAGCACGAAAGGAGGAGGAAACACAAGACACAAAAATTGAGATTCCGCATTATCCGACAGAGCGAGAGCAGATCATTTGCACGTGAGCAGCCGTGTTTTGAGAGCTCGCGAGCAGTTTTGTCCACAAACAAAGGAAACTGGCGCGTGAGCAAAGAGATTCATCCTCTCTTAATACATGAATGAGTTCCCGACTTTTAAAACTGCTCTTACGACAGTGGGATATTGCCATACTCCGCCAGCTGAAATCATGACGCGGGCCCTCACATTGAACCTCCGCAAAAACAGCGATGATGTCACATTTGCCACGCGGACTGAGTCAATAACAGAAAGCTGATTGGCTATTGCAAGTTGACCTCATTTGTAGTTGCAATACCGCTAATTACAATTGGATTAGTGAAATAAAGAACTACAACACCCCGAAAGCCTAGCAACAACAACAAGAAGGAATTTAAATGAGCATTAGATGTAGCGCTACATGGACATCAGAAAAATAAGATTTAAGACTTTAAACTCCTTAAATATTAATTTTTAAATTTTAGACTTAGGGACTTTAAGACCCCGTGGAAACCCTGTTCCAGGACCACTGGCCAAGACACGCCTCATATCCCCAGCTCTCCATCCATCTGCCACCCTGCAGGGAGACGAATGCCCACTTCTACAACCCTTGCACATCCTGACATCAAAGCTATTGTAACATGCATCAACAAAGGCGCTTCCATTCACAGTTGACCATGCACTTATGAAGACACCTCGCATGAATATCAGCTAAAACGATTAATTATGTCTGCTGTACATGCACCATGTTGTAAAGATTTAATTTCTGATTCTCTCTTGTTTTCTCATTTTAGAGGTTATTTTACAGTTTCTGGATTGCCGACTCCAGAAACTGCCCTCATTCAACCCATCACACTCTACATCCATTCCTAATGCTTTCACACTCTTTGCAAACACATATTTCCACTTATACCTGTACAGCCCACACCCTTGATGCCATACCCACACTAGCCTTTTTGGCTTTTGAGATGTTGTGAACTAACATCAACATTTCAATCCCACATTCCACCCCATCATAGCTGATCCAACTTTGCAGGATGAAGAAACTCTGTCTTTCTTTATTGAGCAAACAGATCATTGACACAAGGGCATTCTATTTACATTTTTAACTTGTAAATTGTTTTAAATTCAAAATTGTAATATATGCATCAGTGTAAAACCAATGACTGGTGGAAAAACATTTTCTGTAATATTAAAACCACAAGGGACTCCACTTTTGCCATGGCCTTTTTTGCTGTTGGTGTTTGAACAAACTTATCCCTCAGGTTTTTCCAAACCTTTCCTCCTCTCCTACTGCTGTTGCAACTTCTAGCCAAGAAGTATTGGTCATCTGGTTCTCCCTATGATCACGCATGGATGAATCATAAAGATGTCTGTATAGTCGACAGTTGTACCCGTTTCAGACAAAATCGTCGCCATGGAGTGCCGGTAAGGACACGGAGACTTGAACCCCATTTAAAGTTCTTTAATGTCCATCACACTTGAATAGGTACCGTCTTTTACATGGGAGTGTGTGTGTGTGTGTGTGTGTGTGTGGTTTCTCATCATTGACGCACACAAAACTAACTGGCATAAGGCGGAAAGCAAAGCATGTGACCTTTCTTTCTATCTGAACAGAATGAAACCAGTCAATACACTCAATGTACCGCAGACCTAAGCTGCGTTTTGATTGGCTGATTGTGCTCGTGACATGTTAAGTCAGTGAAAATGTATGAATAGACATCCTGCGGCGCGATACACGCGAATGGCGTGGCGTGAATGGCACCCATTGCTTGAGTTTGAAAGTCTGAACTTCAGCAGACATTCGCGCCGCATAAACCCTCTGGGGTCGAAGACTGCGTATACGCGTTTTAACCTGTGGTGGCGTCAAACTGCTGAAATGAACTTAAATTAAACTTTCAGTTTTGATCGTACAAATGAGATCAATACATAAATTGAATCTGTTATGTGTCTACTTTTTGCTCACAACAACAACAACCGTGTGTGCTTTTGCAAAATAAGGAAAACAACAGAGTAGGCATTCTGTCTTTTCTCTCTCCGTGAACTGCTTTTAGAAATGCATCAGTAAAATGCGCTGAAACTCCACGAATACAAAACGAACACATATGAGAAATGTATTTCTAGAAAGCTTAAAGTGTCTACTTTTAAACGCAGCTATGCATGTTGAAAACAAAGTCAGCAATACTTTATATTGCTTGATTAAGTAATCAGTATGAAATCAACGCTATGTCTATATTCTCAGTCTGATCTCATTAGTTTTATCGCGACCATGCCCACGAGGCATTGTTATTACAAGTGTCTGAATATGCTGCAGACTGTGATCAGAAAAACACGTCACTAAAATGAAAGGAAACTCGGCAAATAGTCAACAAAGATGATGATTTCTGATATCTATATAAAGCTTAATGTCTACTTTTGCATTAACCAATTCAAGTTGAAAACAAATGATCTCTTTTTATGTAATCCGTGTAAAAGTAAGGACTGTACGGATTCTCCTATATCACCTCATTACAGCAGCGTGGTCCCACCTCTCAGTAAGCGCGCTTCATATGTACATTTCCAGGACCAGTGGCAAAGAGAGCTAAAGTAGACAAGATGTGCTCCGAGTTTGCTCAGTAATGCGAGTAATGATGGTCTGTGTCATGACAACAAACTGTTAGAGGAAGATGTCGCCTTCAACTTCACAAAAATTTATAAAAACGATACAAAAGCGGACCAGGTTCAAATAATCCTGCGTCTGTGAGTCTCCGCTAATGTCAAGAAGAAGGCCAGGGGTTACAGTGAAATACTGCCTTTTTCCTGCGCCCCTCCTCATCATAGGATACCTGTCTGCAAGACTACATTTCTAAGTGTCCTTTGTAAGTTTATTCTTTAAATAATTACTGTGAATACCGAGTGAGAGTATGATCACTTGCGCCAAAAGCTGCTGAAAAAAGATTTCATTATCGCATATGGATTAATCATCATTCTTTAAAATAACATTGCTCTAATATCAGAATACCAAAACTAACTCAGAATCGTATTATTATTAATCAATCTTTGTATATCCTATTCCATATATTAATGATGTATTGTTTTTTTAACCAATTTAAGATGTTTGACAATGTTGAGATAATATGTTGCATTTTGGCATGATTTATGACTTATGTATAAACTATTTAAAGACATAAAGTTAAATAAAAAATATCCTGGGTTTGAAGAATATTGTGTTCCTGGACTTCACTGAGCTTAATAGTTTAATGTATAAAATTGTGAATGAACTTGACTGTTGATGTCGTAAATAATAATGTCAAATAACCAACATTTCTT